CATCTCTGGCAATGAATCAACAATTCAAAGCACTTTTCTTGTGTATTGTTGATAAACAAGCAGTCATACATAAATTTAGAAGGATCTTTTGGGAATTGTAAAATATTAGTAATTAAAATTAAAGTGCGGTTGAGAAAGCCATCCATAAATAGATATATATTCTGGAGGGTGTATCTGGTCCTACAATTAAAACGTATAACTGTATAAGTTAATGAATATGGCAGGGGTTGTTTCAATGGCAGGGTCGTCCGGTTGATATTGTAATGTGTGTGTTACTTTCAAGGATTACCGAAATGAACTTTTATATATTTTAAAATAAATCTGTTTTCATACTTTTAAGTTGCATGAAATTAATTTTTTTATATTTTAGATGAAATAAGTTAGCCAAATTTAACATGACATAATTATATGTTATAATTTTGTCTTTTCCCTTCCATATCTAAGTCTTTCTATTATATGTTATAATACAAAGCAGTTGCACAATTATTGATCACTTTATAATAATAAACTAATTTTGCGCATTCTTATTGTAACCTCATTGGATATCTTTTTGCAGATTCATTTCATTGGCATTTGCCAAGCACCTTCCAGGAAATTTTCAGCTATAATTTGGACAAGTTCTCTCCTCTTCTGCTTAGTCGGTTCACTTTTTATCATCTCACAGAATTAGCCTTGCAATTAAACTGATTTGCAGCTACTTCTGATTCTCTTGGGCTAGCTTACTTAGTTATCAGTATCCATTTTCTTCGGTGAAATATACAGGTACATCATCTAGATCTTCTATTCTTCTATCGTGATTAAGTTATGTTCTCTTTGAGATATAAATGAAAATATCTAATTTTTTTCAAATGCGCATGACCTTATTGACGAATACTCTTCACTCTGATTAGGATATTCCTCATTTTTAAATTGTTTTTAAATTGACTTTATAAGCTGATGTGCTGCCACTTGTAACTTGGTTGGCTTAATTTGCTCATCCACATCCATTGCTTCAATTTCTTCTACTAAAATCGTAGGTAACACTAATTATCTTGATCTTTAATTGTGACTCTATCAGTCCTCATTGATGTATGAAGATGAATGGCCTAAATCCAATCTTCAGGTGACTCTGTTATCTAAGGGAAGATCCAATTAATTACACTACTAGAAAAATGGCTATATAGTGTCAAATAGTTAATTTATGATATCAAAAAATTAATTGACACAAGATTAGTGTTGTCAAATACCTACATAAAATAAACTTGTATCAAATAATATTTGACGCTGCATTTAAAAAAATATAGACATTTGACATACTTGACACCGCAAAGTTATGTAAAATGAGTTACTAACAGTCAATGTTTAAGTGTTATGTTGACTGCATACGTGTATTTGACATCAGATACTATAGTTTCAAATGTTTTTCTATAGAATAAAAAAAAAAAATCATTCTCTACTTTGGTAATATTACACTACTATATAGATATCATAAATGCATAAATATTTGAGTAACGTGTGTACACATATATATATATATAACCAACAACCTATTAATCTGAGGGAAAGGAACTCAATACTTTTTAAGTAAAGTCTCAAGTTCGACTCTTATAAATAAAGAAAAATGTGTTTTGGGACATGATGTGACTTCATTAATTAAAACTCAATGTGACTTCTGAATACAAAAGGGTTTGGTACTAATATATATAATAAGAATCCGCTTACATACAAATATTATACATTATACTTACATAAAATCTTAATTATCTATCTCTTTACTTTTCAACGATTGAAATTTATTTTTTTATATTAATTGGTGAGAAATGAGAATCCTGGCAGAGATCCTCATTCCTCGTGAGAAATAGAAATAAGAGTAAAATTTACCTCTTATTAAAAATCTCCTTAAAGATCTTCATCCCCATCATTCAAAATAACGGAAACGGGGACTCCCCAATCCCACGGATCTGTTGACATCCCTAGTTTGAAAGGATTTTGTTGCTAATGTCTTGCGGTTGAACGCCGAATTTTAAACAAATTAAGGTCACTTTTATTATACCTATGCAATTTTTTTTTTTTTAAATTCTTTTGTTGTGGGGCGGGTTCAAAATCCGAGCAAGAAGAGATATGTACTTTCTCAATGTCACTGCCAATCGTGACACGCGGGCCAAGTGCATTATACCTATCCAATTTTAAGATAAAAAGGAAGGAAAATGCTATATTATGTCAAAACTGTTTCCGGCCTCTACCGGCCTACTCTCCGCCGTTTCTCTCATTTTCTCACCGTCCGTCACCCCAGCTTTTGCTGCTGTAGCCGTCGCGTTCCGTCGTCCAGATCCAGCTGGACATTTCCTCTCTTCCACCTTACCTTTGCCGACGGTAAGAGTAACCGATCGAGTGGGATCGAAATCTTTTGTAAATTTGGTGCTTTTGGTTAGCTTGAACCGTGCTGGTGATTGTCATTCTTTTCTATTTAAAGTGTGGAAACTTGGGAATCTCATTGTTACTGTATTGATATAATTGTTGAATTTCGTAGGATAATATGCGGAGGCACGGAAGAGCTTGTGTGGTGGTTCTAGGAGACATTGGTCGCAGTCCTCGGATTATCCCCTCTTGTATAGCCCATCATCAGATGTACCAGAAAGGAATTATTGAGAGTATGAGTTGCTGTTCTATGGTGTCTAGTAAATGTGGAAATTATACTTTAATCAATTGAATTGCAACTTGAGGGAGGGAAAAGTTTCTGAATGTTGAAGGATATGGATGGAGTATAAAGGAGAGATACAACATTGGTAGTATGATATAGCATTTATTGTAGAAACTAAGATAGAGTGAGGTGAGTAATGTGTATGTACTTGCTTGGTTTATCAATGCCAATCCTTTTCTTAAGTTAATACAATATTCCATTGTTGATTTTTTTTTTTAAATTAGTTTCTTAAAAATTCCTTCCCGTTAATGAGAAAAGCTTCTATTCTCTTTCTATTTTTTTGTTGTAAACTCAGTCTTAAATTAATCTGTGCTAGAAGGGTTGTATCTTTATATTCATTGTGTACAATATGATCTGAAAGCCTTTAGCACTAGATACACTTGACAAATATTGAAAATTGTTGTCATTCAAATTTTGGATATGCATCAAAATTATATATGTTTACAAAAGTCTTGGATTATAATTATATCTTGGTACAATTACCCAAGAATGTACAAATAGTGATTAGTTTACTAACTGAATTGTAAATTTGAATATTTGGATAGGTTCTGAACCACATGCTACAGTCCGAGAGAATGGTTCTATTCATATTCACACAATGGTATTGATGCAGAGAAATCTAACCACTCTAAGTTATCTAAGGCTATCAACTTTAACATTTGAATTTCTTTCTTCTCTTTTGCAGAAGCAATGGCCGAAACTCCTTAAAGCTTGCCAAAGATACTTTACCTGTTGACACTTTTGCTGAAGCCAATCTTTCAATTTGTTATGCTGCTTCGGTTTCTTTGTATTAAAGTTCCACACCCTGATGTTTTATTGTACAGGTGAGTTTTTAAAGTTTCATTAGAGAGGTACCATTTGTCTTAATAGCCAATTTTTTCTGTTGTGCATATGTGTGTGTGTATTTGTGAGTGTAACTTTACTTGAAACAAGTTTAGTTATCATTTTTAATTTGTGCATAATTTAGTGTTTGCTAGCTCTTAACTATAATAACCCATTTTCTGAAATTGAATGAAATTCACTAATCATATGTTTGATTTGTTTAAACCATATGCCTATTAGATTCATGGAAGAATTAGAAATGTGAATTATTTCAGTCATGTTCTAGGAAAGAGCATTTGGTGTTATGGATGTGGCCCTTTGAAGCTTTTGTGTGCTGCCAAGCTGCAAAGGGCAGAGTTAGGAGCAACTGAATTGGATGATAACTGTTTTTTAATGATATATGGGCCTGATACAAAGTTTCTGAAAAAATGAATAGAATAGTTGGGTTATTGCGCTTTTGTCATGAATGGCTGGGCCTGGGGATTAATGTTAGCTTAGTACGAGTCCAAGATGGATAACTCAGGACACTACAAATATATTAAATTCCATCTACTAGTTTTGAGATGTCATTTGTATGCACCTTATATCTTTCTCTAAAATGCAGCAGAACATAATCTCAATCTAGCTGTATGTTTTTCATTTTAGTTATATATTAATTAATATTTTCTCTCATTGTTGTCTTGATTTTTCATTCTCTTTTTCCTTGTTTTTTCCTTCTCAAATTTTGTTAAACATTCACGTTTTTTTTTTTTTTTTTTTTTT